GGTGGTGGCGTTGGCGGGCCGCGATTATCTTGGCCAGCGGTCCTCGACCTGGCTTGGAGGGCAAGTCTTGGCCATGCGCAGTCTGGAGAGGACGAGGAGGGCTCGGGCCTGTGCCTGGGGACGGCTTGGACGGGGGCATCTCGAACTCCAGCGCAGCTCCTCCCCGTGTGAGAGCTGTCTTCCACTGACTGTCCCTTCTCCTGTTTTTGCTCTGTGCTCCTCGTCCTCCTCTTCCCACTATTCTTCCTCCTCCTAGTCCTCGTCCGGCTTCCCTTCCTTTTCTCCTTTCTCTTCTTCTTTCTCCTCCTCACTCCTCCTCCTCCTCCTCCTCCTCCTCCTCCTCCTCCTCCTCCTCCTCCTCCTCCCTCCCACCTCGAGGACGTTGAGGGATCAGTGATCAGGGGGCCGACGGGGAGGAGGGCTCCTTCTGCTCAGGCTCCTCCTCCTCCTCCTCCGTCTCCTCCTTCTCCTCCTCCTCCTCCTCCTTCCTCCTCCTCCTGCTATCCCGGAGGACGAGGATGAATTCAGGGGGCTGGCGGAGAGGAATAGTGCCGAGCACTCAGAGGAAGGATGGAGCAGGATGAGCCATAAGGCACGAGGAGGGGGAAGGACGAATGCTTCCTCCCCCTCCTCGGGCTCCTCGAAAAGCTGGTCCCTGTCCGTGTCGGGTCCTTGGAGGGGGCGACAACGAGATGGGAGGACGAAGGGAAAAGGAGGAAGCAGGCGCCTGGCATGCCTCGAACTCGTTGCCCACGCTCGCATGTTGTGTCCCCTGCTGAGCCTGCGTCAGCAGATAGAAGGAGGTGGAGGCGGATGACGAAGGGGCGGAGGGCGATGACAGAGGATCTGCACGCCGACAGCATTCCCTCGCCCCCTCCCCCACTCTGAGGACATGGGGCTGGGGCAGAGGCAGAGGTGGCGGCGGCGGCGCGGCAGGCGGGGACCGTCTTCCTCTCCCTTTCTTTTTCTCCCGTCTATCTTCTAACTTCTCTCTTCTCTCTTCTCTCTCTGTCTCTATGTCTCGGCGTTTTTTTTTTTTTTTTTTTTTTTTTTTTTTTTTTTTTTTTTTTTTTTTTTTTTTTTTTTTTTTTTTTTTTTTTTTGTTTTTTTTTTTTGTCTCTCTCTCTCTCTCTCCCCCACCTCTCTCTCTCTCCCCCTGGAGGGCCTGGAGGGGGGAAGGGAAGGGCGGCCCCTGGCACCCATGGGGGCAACTAGGCCCGTGGAGGGCAGCTGGGCGCAGCCCCCTGGTGCCAAACCTCACCAGCCAGCCTCTGGCAGCAACGCCAGGGCAGCAACCTCTCTCTCTCTCTCTTTCTGCTCTTCCTCTCTCTCTCTCTGTATCGGAGGTTGGGGGGTGTGAACGGAAGCGACCCCAACCGGGAAATCGGTTTCGGTTTCGGTTCGTATCGTGCGTGCGGGCGAGGCGAAGCTGCGCGAGTTCATGCACTGGTAGGGGCCATCTATTGCCAAACGGGCCGCCCTCCCCCGTCGGCCGGCCGTGGCTCCCGGGTTGTCCCGGCGGTTGTCCCGGCGGTTGTCCCGATGGTCGTCCCGATGGCCGTCCCAATGGTTGTCCCGATGGTTGTCCCCCCAGCGGTTGTCCCGGCGATTGTCCCGATGGTTGTCCTGATAGTTATCCCGATGGCTGTTCCGACGGTTGTCCCGATGGTTGCCCCGATGGTTGTCCCGATGCTTGCCCCGATGGTTGTCCCGATGGCTGTCCTGGTGGTTGTCCTCATTGTTGTCCCGATGGTTGCCCCGATGATTGTCCTGATGGTTGCCCCGATGGTTGTCCCGATGGTTGTCCCGATGGTTATCCCGATGGTTGTCCCGATGGTTGCCCCGATGGTTGTGCCGATGGTTGTCCCGATGGGTGCCCCAATGGGTGCCCCGATGGTTGTCCCGATGGTTGTCCTGATGGTTGTCCCCATGGTTGTCCTGATGGCTGTCCCGATGGTTGTCCTGAGAGTTGTCCCGATGGTTGTCCCGATGGTTGTCCCGATGGTTGTCCCGATGGTTGTCTCGATGCTTGCCCCGATGGTTGTTTCGATGGCTGTCCTGGTGGTTGTTCTCATGGTTGTCCCGATGGTTGTCCAGATGATTGTCCGGATGGTTGTTCCGATGGTTGTTTTGATGGTTCCTAGATAGATCATAGATAGATGAATATATAGATAGGTAGGTCGATAGATCGGAAAGAGCGCGTTCTGTGGTCGCTTGGGGTGGGTGGGTTTGGAACCGGCCCCCCCCTGGATTGAGGGGGGGGGTGAAAGCCACCCCCTCTTTTTCATGACGGAGGGGGGGGTTCAACCCCCCTCCTCCTTCCTCTCTCCCTCGCTCATCCTCCCCTACTCCTCTTCTTTCCCTCTCCTCGGGCTGGCGCCGGCGTCTCCAATGCAGCGTGCTGCGGTGGCGGCCCGCGGGAGTTGCCGCGTGAGGTCGCTGTGCCATCTCGCGTGAGACCCGCTTTTGATGGTCGCTCGTGTGGGCTTCGAGCCACTCCGCCGGCCTTCTGAGGGGCACTTGTGAAGCCTCCTGGGCGCCTCTTGGACGTCTCGGGCCAGACGAAAGGGGGGGATAGGGAAAAGGGGGGTTACGAAATCTGCTGCATGCAGCTGGTTTCAGCCCCACCGAGGGGTCCATTCCTCGATACTTGGCCGCCTCCTGCGCCGGGAGGCGCCAGGAAAATCAGCTACGTGAGCTGACTCTCACCCCCCCGCTTTGCTATCCCCCCCTTTCGCCTGGCCCTAACGTCTCTCGGGGCCTCTCTGAGGTGGTGGTGGTGTTTGGTTGTGGTGGTGGGTTGTGGTGGTGGTTGTGTTGGTGGTGTTGGCGGTGGTGGTGGAGGTGGTGGTGGTGGTGGCGAGGTGGTTCTTGTTGGTGGTGGTTGTGGTGGTTGATGTGGTGGCGGTGTTTGTGGTGGTGGTGGTGTGGTGGGTTTGTGGTGATGGTGGTGGTGGTAGCAGTGGTGGTGGGTTGTGGTGGTGGTGTTGGTGGCGGTGGTGGTGTGGTGGTTTATCGTGGTGATTGTGGTGGTGATAGTGGTTGTGCCGCGAAGTGGTTTGTGGTGGGGGTGGGGGTGGCGGCGGTGGTGGTGGTTGTGGTGGTGGTGGTGTGGTGTTTTGTTGTTGTGGTGGTGGTGTTTGTGATGGTGGTGGTGTTGGTGGGGTGATTTGTGGTGGTGGTCTTGGTGGTGGGTTGTGGTTGTGGTGGTGGTGGTGGCGGTGGTGGTTGTGGTTGTGGTGCGGCGATCGTCTCCTCTCCCTCCCCGCCTCCTACTCCCCTCTCTATTCTTCTTCTCCGCCTCCCTCTCCCTCCCTCTCCCTCCCTCTCTCCCTCCCTCTCTCCCCCCTTCTCTCCCTCCCTCTCTGTTCTTCTTCTCCGCCTCCCCCCCCTCTCCCTCCCTCTCCCTCTCCCTCTCCGTTCTGTTTCCCCCTCTCTTCCTACCCGTCTGCCCGTCTCGCCTCGCCCTCCTGCCCTGTCCGAGGTTGGCCCCGATATCCCTCTCTTCGGCCACTCCTGGCCAGGGAGGTCGGCGGCCCTTCCACCCGACGTCGGGAGCTGGCTCCGAGGATATTGCTTCCCCACGTGCGCATTTGCGTCCTGGGTCCCAGGATGAGTATGAGGATGCGTACATATTATGATGGTGATGATGACGCTGCTGCTGCTGATCATGATGATGATTATGATGACGCAAATGATGCTGATGATGATGGTGATGATGATAACGATGATGAAGATGATGATGATGATGATGATGATGATGATGATGATGATGATGATAATGATGATGATGATGATGATGATGATGATGATGATGATGGTGACGATGATGCTGATGATGATGATGATGATGATGGTGATTATGATGATGACGATGATGACGATGCTGATGATGATGGTGACGATGCTGATGATGATGACGACGATGATGCTGATGATGAAGACGATGCTGATGATGACGATGATGATGATGACGATGATGATGATGATGATGACACTGAGATGCAGATGTTGATAGTGGTGATGATGATGTTGGGTGATGATGCTGATGCTGCTGATGATGCCGATGATGTTGATGATGACAATGATGATGGTGCTGGTGATGAGGATTTGGACGATGATAAGGAGGTGGAGAAGGGTGAGGGACAGAAGGATGAGGGGGATGATGCGGATGGGGATGAGGACGGGGATGATGATGATGATGATGATGATGATGATGATGATGATGATGATGATGATGATGATGATGATGATGATGATGATGATGATGATGATGAGAGGAGGAGGAGGAGGATGATGATGATGATGAGGATGAGGATGAGGATGAGGTTGACGATGACGATGCTGCTGATGATGATGCTGATGCTGATGCTGATGATGATGCTGATGATGATGATGATGATGATGATGATGATGATGATGATGATGATGATGATGATGATGATGATGATGATGATGATGATGATGATGATGATGATGATGATGATGATGATGATGATGATGATGATGATGATGATGATGATGATGATGATGATGTTGATGATGATGATGATGATGATTATGTCGATGATGATGCTGATGATGAGAAGGATGAGGATGATAATGAGGATGAGGAGGATGAGGATGCTAATGAGGATGAGGATGATGACGGCGATGCTGACAAAGGTGATGATGATGTTGATGCTGATGCTGATGATGATGATAATGATGATGATGATGAGGATGATGATGATGCTGATGATGATGATGATGATGATGATGATGATGATGATGATGATGATGATGCTGCTGATGATGATGATGATGTAAGTGATGATGGACATGATGCTGATGAAAATGATGAGGATGAAGCGGGGACATAGGAGGAGGAGGAGGAGGGTGAGGGGGAGGATGAGGAGGATGAGGAGGAGGATGATGAGGGTGAGATGATGATGCTGATGCTGATGCTGATGCTAATGATGGTGATGGTGGTGATGACGATGATGATGCTGATGATGATGGTGATGATGCTGCTGATGCTTTGGACCAGTATGATGATGACGATGATGATGATGCTGATGGTGATGATGATGCTGATGATGAGGTGGATGAGCTTGATGGTGATGAAGATCATGATGATATTGCTGATGATGCTGATGCTGTTGATGATGATGGGAGTGATGATGCTGATGATGATACTAATGTTGCTGCTGATGATGATGAGGATGCTGATGAGGATGAGGATGAGGATGATGGTGGTGGTGGTGATGCTGCTGATGATGATGATGATGATTTTCATGATGGCGATGATGATGAGGAGGAGGACGATGCGGATGAGGACGACGACGATGCTGATACGGATGATGCTGATGATGTGATGATGATATGTACAATGATGATGGCGATGATGATTATGATGATGCTGCTGCTGATGATGACGTTGACAATGATGATGAGGATTAGGATGAGGATGATGATGAGAACGATGAGGACGATGATGATGATGATGATGATGATGATGATGATGATGGTGATGATGATGACGGTGATTATGATGGTGATAATGATGAGGATGCGGATTATGATGAGGATGAGGATGAGGATGAGGATGAGGATGAGGACGATGAAGGCGATGAGGACGATTACAATGATGATGATGCTGATGATGCTGAAGCTGCTGCTGCTGATGGTGATGATGATGGTGATGATGATGATGATGATGGTGGTGGTGGTGGTGGTGATGATGATGATGATGATGATGATGATGATGATCCCCCCTTAAGCGGACATTGTGCGATGCACAACCGTTGCCCTGGAGCCCGCGTTCACCCAAGGCCCGCGCGGCAACTGGGAGCACCGAGGCCACCAGGAGTCGCGCGGGGGCAGCGGAGGCCCAAGGGCAAGCCGAAGTGGCCGCAGCCTGCTCTGAATGCACCTCGGGCTTAGGCGCTTCCCTTACCCCGACCGCCCGTCGCGCGCACGCGCCGCTCCTCGCGGGAGCGGGTCCGCGGCCGCCCGCGGGCTGGCCCGCCACTCTTGCTCGGGTGCAGGCCTTGGCGGAGCCGCTCCACGGCCTCGTCCTGCCGCCCCTCTGCGCGCCAAGGGCACTCCTCCGCGAGCCCCATGATGCGGGCGGAGCCAGCATTTGCTCCGCAAGCGTTGCAGAACACGTGGCCCCCGCACCGCATCAAGACGTGCGAGCCGTACAGCGCCGCGTTCCACCAGGCCGGAGGCGCCTCAACGCCCGCAGCGACGGCCGCCAGATGGGCCACGGCCTGCTGCCTGGGCGCGCTGCCGCGACCTCCGCCGCCACCACGCCCGCGGCCCCGCCGGCCTGGCCCCGGCGGGGCGGGAGGGGGCGGAGGCACCTCGGCGGCGGCGGCGGGCTCCTCCGCCGCAGCGGGCCCGCCAGCAGAGGCTCCTCCTGGGCCAGCGGCACCGCCCGTCCGCCTCGGCGGTTCCGCTTTGCGGGCAGCCCCCGCCGCGCCCGCGCCGCCGTCCGCGCCCCCGCTGCGGGCGGCTGCTCGCCTCCCCTGCGCAGGGGTGCCCATGGCGGCGCAGGCCCAGCAGCTCCGGCAGACCGCCTCGCCGAGCCGCAGCGCCGTGTCATGGTGGTCGCAGGCTCGGACGGCGCAGTCGGGCTGCCCTCGGCCGCGGCCGCCGCCGGCAGCCTTGCCAAGCGCACCCGATCGCCTCCAGGCCAGGCGCCTCGAAGCCGTCGGGTGCCCTCCGCATCGAGTCGCCCTCGAGCATGGCCTCGCCCAGCTCCTGCGGACGCCGTGGAGGCCGGCCCCCTGCTTGGCTCGGCTGTCCGCCGTGGCGTTGCCCGCGTGCTGCCTGTCCGTGATGAGGCCGTCGAGGACGGTGCTGCTCCACGGCGCACGCCTTCACCTTGCAGACCCGCATTCTGATGATGATGATGATGATGATGATGATGATGATGATGATGATGCTGCTGATGATGATGATGATGATGATGAGGATGAGGATGAGGATGAGGATGAGGATGAGGATGAGGATGAGGATGAGGATGATGATGATGATTATGATGATGCTGGTGGTGCTGATGATGATAATGAGGATTATGATGATAGTTGCGATAATGCTGATGATGATGATGATGATGATGATGAGGATCATGATGATGGTGCTGCTGCTGATGATGCTGATGATGAAGATGGCGATTATGGTGGTGATTTTAGTTGTGGTGGTCGTTGTGATGGTAATAATGATGATAATGCTAATATTAATAATGTTTCGACTACTAATAATGACGGTGGTAGTAGTGGCGGTGGTGGTGGTCATTATTATCATGATGATGCCGATGATGATGATGCTGATGCTACTGCTGCTGATGATGATGCTGATGGTGGTCATGCTGATGATGATGAGAGAAAATTAATGAGAAGGAGGATGATGAGGATGTGGTTGAGGACGATGATGATGAGGAGGCTGACGAGGAGGACAGTGAGAGGGAGGAGGAGGCTGAGAAGGAGGATGCGGATGAGGACGAGGATTATAAGGAAGATGAGGGTGATGATGACGACGATGATAATGAATATGTTGTTGATGATGATGCTGCTGATGATGATGATGATGATGATGATGATGATGATGAAGGTGGTCGTGCTGATGAGGATGGGGATGAGGATGTTGATGAGGATGTTGATGCCTATGCTGATGATGCAGATGAGGAGGTTGAGGAGGAGGAAGCTGATGCTGTTGATGCTGATGACGATGACGACGATGATGATACTGCTAATGCTTATGATGATGGTGCCGATGATTCTGACGATGAACATGATCATCATATCGATGATGATGGTGATGAGGGTGTTGTTGCTGATGATGATGCTGGTGATGATGATGGTGATGGTGATGCTGTTGCTGATGATGGTGATGATGGTGATGATGGTGGTGGTAGTGGTGATGATTTTGATGACGATAATGATGATGCTGCTGATGATGATGACGACGATGATGCTGCTGATGCTGATGCTGATGATGATGTGGATTTTATTTTTTATTTCATTTTGTCACTATTATCAGTATTATTTTTTGTTGTTATTTTTTCATATATGTACGAATTATTTGTATTATCAGTATTGTTATTTTGATGATGAGGAGGAGTAAGAGGAGGAGGAGGATACGGACCAGGAGGAGGAGACTGAGGAGCAGGATCAGAGCAATCCCAACACCTCATTCCCTGCTGCCATCAGGTCATCGATCCCATGTCCTCGCCGTACATAGTGCATGTAGCCATCACGTGCTGGAATGCTGATCGTCTCATGGCCCTGCCAAGGTTTCAGGGCTGGGGAGGGCTTGAATGGTCAAAATCCGATGTCCCTGGCGCAGATTCGGGTTCTGGGAAGGTTGGAACGGTGAGAATCCTATGGCACTGTTGCTGGAAGTATGCCTTGGAGAATTGGCCAGGTGAGAAATACATGGTGAGAGCGAACAGGTGATACAACTCTGCATGTGTGCTTGACATGGTACCGAGGCGTGTACACGGCTTGAAGGCGGCCTCGCAGGTTGCAAGAGCTCTGCAAGATCCTGCGGCATCCAAGGGAGAGCGTGATCCACACAGTCGCCTGTCGTCCATCCGTGCTGTCGTTCGGGTCTTTAGTCACGAGACGGGGGGTTCTGAGGAACTCCCACGCGGAATGGCCATTGCGCCTTATCAGCATCAGCCCGGAGGTGTGTACGGCGATGGGGAATGGGGGAGGAGGAATGGCTCCGAGCCCTCTGTCCTGATAGGTTCGCCTCTGGTCCAGGCCGAGGCTGGGCCAGACTGCAGCTGATTCCAGTCGTTTCCCAATTGGGTCGGGTCGCAAATGGTGGGAACCCTGTGTGTCCACGTAATTCCGTCTGAGTGCATTCGCGTGCGCTGCTGTCTGGTCATCGGTAAGAGAGCGCCGATTTCGATTCCGCACCGATGTAGCGTCGATCAGCGTCGATTCGCAAGAGCCACCAACATCGGGCGAGACCGCCCACCAACATCGGGCGACTCGTGGGAGTCCACCCACATCGGGCGAGACCGCCCACCAACATCGGGCGAGACCGCCCACCAACATCGGGCGAGACCGCCCACCGTTATGTTGGTGGCAACTCGTGGGAGTCCAGGAGTTGCCACCGACAGCGGGCGAGACCGCCCATCAGGTGGGGCTGCCGGCGGTGCGGCGGGCGCCGGCGCCCCCAAGGCGCCCGAGGCGGGGCACTGAGAGGGCCTTCCTGCCGCCTGGCGGCCGCGCCGGCCAAGGTGTGGCGGGCGCGCGCGCGCGCCATAGGGCCCTATATGCGCCGGGGAAGCGTAAGACAGGCTCGAGTTTGCCGGAGCTCGGGTCTGCGGACGCTTCTCGACGGGCCCGTGTGGATTTCGGATGGCCCAGTTTTCGTGGGGTGCCTGCAGCGGGAGCCCGCATCAAGTTTCGGACCGGGTCTCATCTTTCTCCCGGCGGCCCCGTCGGGCCAACCCGAGTCCCCCGAACCCGAGTCTTGTGCTTCCCCGATGGCGGGCGGGCAGCAGGGTCGCCCGCTGGTTTGGAGCGGGAGGAGTGGGGATGGCTCCGCTGGTGTTCGGGCGTCGTCGTCGTTTCTCGGTGTTTTTTTCGGCGTCAGGGTCCTTTCGAGCAGCGGCGCCCCGCCGAGAGCGCGTCCTGGAGGTGTCCGAGTTGTTCCTGGCGGCCGCCGGAGGCCGGAGTGCTGGCCCGGAAACCAGGCGATGAGGATCACCAGGGGCGGACGAAGGGGGAGGGACAGGGAAAGGGGGTTTACGAACTCTGCCGCCCGCAGCTTGTTTCGGCCCTGCCGCCGGGACCCTCCTTTACTCAGGAGGGAAAAAAACACACAGACACAATTAATCGTCGATCCCCAGGAAAATATGGGAAAATATGGGAAGTGGGGGGGAAGACGAAAATCCAAAAAATATTGGACAATACGGGGGATTATTTTATTTGTGTGTATTGATGTGTGTGTCCTGGGGCCCCTTCAATTACAGGTGTTCGGTTGTGGAGCCCTGCCTGAACGCAACCATTCGGCTGCCGCGCCGAAGACCGCGGGAAGCCTGCTGAAGGCCGCGGGAGAGCGCTGGAAGGCCGCCAGAGACCGCTGGAAAGCTGCAGAGAGGCCGCCGAGACCGCCCAAGGCAGATGGGCAGGACGGGGTCCACGGTCGAGTGCGTACAGTGCCGTTTTTGATACATGCTCCGCGTGCGGATCATGTATTAAACATGCAGGGATTCAGTATCAAAAACAACGATGAGTTCGTGCATAAATTCATTCCTAAATTAGTCATGTCTTACAAATCCTACATTTTTAAAAATCCAAAGTATTGAAAGCTGCCCTGTACAGGTGTTCGATTGTGGAGCCCTCCATGAACGCGACCATTCAGCTGCCACGCCGGAGACCACGGGAAGCCGCCGAAGACCGCGGGAAGCCACGGTCGAGCCACGGCAGATGGGCCGCACGGGGTCCACGGTCGAGTGCGTACAGTCCCTTTTTTACCTAACAGCGAAGACTGATAGGTTTCTAGTAGGGTCAAAAGAGAGCATCTTGACGCCCCAGGGGGCTCTGGGCGTGATCCGGGGGAGGAATGCCGGGGACTCTTTTTTTGGCCAACGATAACGCACTTCGTGGTCTTCGAGTTCCCAGAACTCCATTCCTGGGCATGATTTTGAATGCCCGGAGCCAACTGTAGGCCACTTCGTGGTCTTCGAGTTCCCAGAACTCCATTCCTGGGCATGATTTTGAATGCCCGGAGCCAACTGTAGGCTATGGTCTTCGAGTTCCCAGAACTCCATTCCTGGGCATGATTTTGAATGCCCGGAACCAACTGTAGGCCACTTCGTGGTCTTCGAGTTCCCAGAACTCCATTCCTGGGCATGATTTTGAATGCCCGGAGCCAACTGTAGGCCACTTCGTGGTCTTCGAGTTCCCAGAACTCCATTCCCGGGCCACATTTTGAATGCTGAGGCAGGCTGATGCTGAGGCTGAGGCAGGCTGAGGCTGAGGCAGGCTGAGGCTGAGGCCGAGGCTGAAGGCAGACTGAGGCTGAGGCTGAAGCAGGCTGAGGCTGAGGCTGAGGCAGGCTGAGGCTGAGGCTGAGGCTGATGATGAGCTGCTGAGGCAGACTGAGGCTGAGGCTGAGGCTGAGGAGGCTGAGGCTGAGGCTGAGGCAGGCTGAGGCTGAGGCTGAGGGCTGATGCTGAGGCAGGCTGAGGCTGAGGAGGCTGATGCAGGCTGAGGCTGAGGCAGGCTGAGGCTGAGGCCGAGGCTGAAGGCAGACTGAGGCTGAGGCTGAGGCTGAGGCAGGCTGAGGCTGAGGCTGAGGCAGGCTGAGGCTGAGGCAGGCTGAGGCTGAGGAGGCTGAGGCTGAGGCAGGCTGAGGCTGAGGCTGAGGCTGAGGCTGAAGCAGCTGAGGCAGAGGCTGAGGCAGGCTGAGGCTGAGGCTGAGGCAGGCTGAGGCTGAGGCAGGCTGAGGCAGGCTGAGGCTGAGGCTGAGGCTGAAGGCTGAGGCTGAGGCTGAGGCAGGCTGAGGCTGAGGCTGAGGCTGAGGCAGGCTGATGCTGAGGCAGGCTGAGGCTGAGGCTGAGGCTGATGCAGGCTGAGGCTGAGGCAGGCTGAGGCTGAGGCCGAGGCTGACGGCAGACTGAGGCTGAGGCTGAAGCAGGCTGAGGCTGAGGCTGAGGCAGGCTGAGGCTGAGGCTGAGGCAGGCTGATGCTGAGGCAGGCTGAGGCTGAGGCTGAGGCTGATGCAGGCTGAGGCTGAGGCAGGCTGAGGCTGAGGCCGAGGCTGAAGGCAGACTGAGGCTGAGGCTGAAGCAGGCTGAGGCTGAGGCTGAGGCAGGCTGAGGCTGAGGCTGAGGCAGGCTGATGCTGAGGCAGGCTGAGGCTGAGGCTGAGGCTGAGGCTGAGGCGAGGCTGAAGGCAGACTGAGGCTGAGGCTGAAGCAGGCTGAGGCTGAGGCTGAGGCAGGCTGAGGCTGAGGCAGGCTGAGGCTGAGGCAGGCTGAGGCTGAGGCTGAGGCTGAGGCAGGCTGAGGCTGAGGCAGGCTGAGGCTGAGGCCGAGGCTGAAGGCAGACTGAGGCTGAGGCTGAAGCAGGCTGAGGCTGAGGCTGAGGCAGGCTGAGGCTGAGGCTGAGGCAGGCTGATGCTGAGGCAGGCTGAGGCTGAGGCTGAGGCTGATGCAGGCTGAGGCTGAGGCAGGCTGAGGCTGAGGCCGAGGCTGAAGGCAGACTGAGGCTGAGGCTGAAGCAGGCTGAGGCTGAGGCTGAGGCAGGCTGAGGCTGAGGCTGAGGCAGGCTGAGGCTGAGGCAGAGGCAGGCTGAGGCTGAGGCTGTGACTGCGACTGCCGTTGCCACTGCGACTGTCATCGCGAATGCGACTACGACTGCGAGAACATCAGAATTCTACAGCTGGGTTCTCATCTGAATCTTAAGGGGAATGCTTCCAGATATGCTCCTACACATCGCTGTTAGGTTGCTTTGCCGGGATAATTAATACATGCTCCGCGTGCGGATCATGTATTGAACATGCAGGGATTCAGTATCAAAAACAACGATGACCTCGTGCATACTTTCATTCCTAAAATTAGTCATGTCTTACAAATCCTATATCTTAAAAATCCCAAGTATTGAAAGATGCCCTGTACAGGTGTTCGATTGTGGAGCCCTCCGTGAACGCGACCGTTCAGCTGCCACGCCGGAGACCGCGGGAAGCCGCCGAAGACCGCGGGAAGCCACGGTCGAGTGCGTGTGTAATCTTCTCGACCTCACCTCGCGGCGCCTCCGTCGCGCCGCGAGGCGCCGGGAGAAAAGCAGCTGCGAGAGGGTGCGGATCGGGGCCACACGGGGGCGCGGGGCGCCTCCGGGCCTCGGGCGCGGGCGCCTGCTCCCCGCGGGAGGGCGGGGCCGCGGGAGGGCGGGCTGCTTCGAGGGGCTCCTCCTCCTCCTCCTCCTCCTCCTCCTCCTGCTCCTCCTCTCCCTCCTCCTCCTCCTCCTCCTCCTCCTCCTCCTCCTCTCCTCCTCCTCCTCCTCCTCCTCCTCCTCCTCCTCCTCCTCCTCCTCCCCCTGGAGAGCCTTGCTTCGGGGAGGGGGGCTTCTCTTCTGATGGGCCAGTCCTTCATCACCACTGCCACAGGCAGGACGGGGGAGAAGTGTGGATATGGAGGTCCTCCTCCTGCTCCTCCTCCCGATGTCCCGATTTCTTGATGTGGCGTGGGGTGCTCCGCACGCTGCCGCTTCCCCCCAGGGCTGGCCAAAAGCCAGCCCTGGGGGGGCAGGATATAACAGCAGGACGACAGAAAGGCAGACAGACAGGGACGAGACAGAGAGGGGAGAGGCATCGCATCGACATCATCAATCATAACCTTGAGGAGGGAATGAGGAAAGAGGGAGCTGTGTGCGTAGTGGCGGTGAAAGTAGCGGCGGCAGCCTACAAGGGCCCACAAAACCTGGTCGTGGGTCCCTCCTCTTTCGGGTCGCGTGTCCCTCTTGGGCCACCGTCCTGGAGAGAGCCCCAAGGGTCCCCCCCCAAGGGTGCCCTGGCAGTCTGAGGACAGTTGTGAAAGAGAGGAGGCGTTGGCGGCTGACACAGCGTAGGAAACAAGTGGAGATACAGAAGCTGAAACGGGGAGGTGGGTGTAGCGGGTGGGTGGCGGTGGCGGCGCCTCTCCGCTCTCGCCGGCAGGGAGGGCACAATGGCTTCTCCCTCAGCTTCTAGGACTCACCACAGACGTCTCCAGGGTCAAAAAGGCGGGATCCCTCGCCTGCAAAACATGCACAGGGTTCCCGGCACATTGACCCTGCGGCCGGTGCTTAGCTGGTATGCTCGCCGTCGGCTGGTGATTGGTTGCGGTCGTAAGCCTACACATGTCGGTTTCACCCGTGAGGCTCTCCGTCGGCATTGTTTGGTTGTTGGCGCCTTCCAGTGCCCGAGCCGCTGTCGTGGGCTCGTCGATGCTGCTGAACGTGATGAGGTCGGCCGTCGGTTTGGTCATTGATTGGTACTTGTTGGGCTTCTTCTGCACATCTTGATGCTCTGCCATTGGCGTAGGCTGGCGCAGTTCCCAGCTGCGCGAAGTGAAGATGTAGCGTTAGAGTTGCAACTGTTACGGTCTCCCCCCGACCACCACTCTTCCCCGCCGCGCTTCCCGATCCCGCCTTGGAGTCAAGGATGGCAACGAAGATGGCGTACAAGAACACATAACGGGCGACGTCACGTAAAAGTGAGAGGTAACCTACGCTGGAGACAGTGGTAGAGAGGATAAGCAGGTGACACATCGTGCAAGCTGCAACTAAGATGCGAAAGCGTGAGCTGGACTCGACGTGCCACTGCAATCCTGTACTGTATACCTTAGTTGCCCAGAAGCAAGCAGCAATGACTGGAGAGAGAGGGGAGGGGAGCAGGGGGGGGGAACCCACCGAAAGAGGCGGCGGCAACGGTCCCGTGCCTCCGCCAGCGGGGGTTCATGGCCTTTTGCTCTCCCCAGCAGTCCGTGGGGCACGACCCCTGGGGCGGGCGGGGGGGGGAGAAGCGTCCCAACAGGCCGCGGGGCACGGCCTTTGTTGGG